GCCAATTCATTGCTCCGTCTTGCCTAGTCGGAGGCCTCCCTCAACTCATCTTGAACGACCGCGGCTTCTCTCATATATATAGAAATGGATTTATCAACTGCAGCCTTAGTCTTCTCAGCTTAGGCCTTAGCTTGTGTAGCTTCAGCCTTAGCCTGCGTAGCTTCGGTCCGAGCTTTAGCCAGTTCGGCCTCCAGCCCCTTGATTTCCCTGGCCTGAGCCAAGCCCTTCGCTTCAGCACCTCGGAGATGAGCTTCAGTAGAGGCCAGTTGGGCCTTAACAGCTTCCTTTTCGGCAGCAAGTCGATCCATGTTCTCCATCCACTGATGGCAATCAGCCCGAACTCGATCAACCTCACCCCGGAGCTGCCCAATAATGTCCAGCTTTTGCTACAGGTGAGACATCGAAGTATTAGCCTCCGAAGTAGGGCCAAGAATGCCGAACTTTGTTAAAATCAAAGTTACCTGCTCATCCAGCTCGAACTCGCTTTTTTGAGCTTTGGCCAAAGCAGTTCGGAGGTCCTTAATCTCCTCCTCTTTCCGGCTACAAAGAAGCCTCGGGGCCTTCTCTTCGCCCGAAACTTTCTTAAGCTCGACCTCACATTGGCTCAGCTTGGCTCTGAACTTTGCAACGGCCTATACGTGAAATAAAGACACATCAGTCGAAAAAGAAGACAAAGGGAGAAAAACTTGCAATTGAAAGGGCATGTCCTTACCCGGATAAGGAGGCGTTGGGCCTCTTCGAAAAGGGAGGATGCATCATTAAAGTCATTGGCATCCTCGATCCCAGCATAGAAACCCTAAAAAGGATCATCTTCGATAACCTTATTTGGATCGGGCTTGGGCCTAGCATTGGCTTCTTCGATTGCCCTCTCAAAATAAGTTGGCAACAAAAGGGAGTGACCCGTTGTCGCGGCCCCGAGCTCCTCGCTCGGGGCGTTCTCATTAGCATTGGGGGACTCAACGTTTTACCCTCTGATAAAGTTGCTAAAGAGGGAGGGACAATCTCAACCTCTAGGTACATAGGGGCCTTGCTCGTTTCTTCCCTCTGGGCACCCTCGCCACGGGATGGGTTTTGTAGTTCGGAAGGCTCAGCAGCCTCGACTCGCTTCCTGGTCCGAGTCACCAGCGCCGTCTCTTCATCATCATTTTCCTCACCATCTGGGAGTCATGGGCTGAGTCCGTGCCCGTTTGAGCGAACCTTTTCCGCAACCTTCGAGTGGAGGTTTTCTTGTCTTGGGGGTCTTCGGGTTTCGAGCCCCTTTTTCTTTTGTTGTCCTTCTCGAGCTTCGGATTTGAAGGCTAGGTTTTTTCCCCAGGCGGGGCCGGCCTCATCTCGGACGTATCTCCAAGACCTGCATAGGCAAGCGTGAGTAAGTAAAAACGCCGCTGAATGTATGAAAAATGCTGAAACTAACTGTGGTTCTTGGCCTCCCAATGGCCCTTCGCTAATTCGCGCCACTTACGCTCGTCGTAGAAAGAACTGGCAGCTAATTTTTTGACCCAATCCTCGAGGTCGGGCACCGCTAGGGGCGCCCAAGCATTGGCTGCCAAAGAAAAGATAAGAGCGTTATGGAATATGAAAGAACATGAATAGATACAAAAAATACGGACTCCACTTACGGTTGAAGTTCCACCTCTCCGGGAACAGCATTGTTTCCTCGGGGATGATGTCCGAAGTCCTTACTCTAACAAATTGGCTCATCCAACCCCGATCTTTGGTTTTGTCGCTGCTGGAGAAGAAGGATTTTGTCGTTCGGCGTTGCAGCTTGATGAGCCCTCGAAATAACTGGGATCGATACAACCGAATTAGGTGGCTGAGGGTGAATTCCAAACCCTCGGCCTTTTCAGAGAAATATCGCAACATGATCACGATACGCCAGAACGAAGGGTGGATTTGACCGAGGGTGACTTCGTACGTCTTGCAGAAGTCGATCACCACCGAATCGTGGGGGCCCAGTGTGAAGGGGTAAGTATAAACACTCAAAAACCCCTCCTTATGGGTAGTTATGCTTTCTTCGGACCTCGGGATCTGGACCTCGACTTCCTCTCCCCACCGATAATCCTTCTTTACTTCCTTGGTGATCAGCTTCGTTATCAGGCTAATGTATCGGGATACGCGCTCGCATCGGCCTTCGACATCGGGAAGATTCTCGATACCGAAGTACTTCGTGATGATGCAATCACCAGGGGTGATTTCTTCAAGTGTTGGCGGCACCACCGGTTTGGCCGGCCGGGAGGCAGAGGAAGATGATGTTTTATCTTTTTTAGGGACTGTCTTGGAAGTTTTGGCCATGGTTGTAAGCTAAGGAATGCGAGTGCACAGGGATGTAGTGTTTCCGGCAAGAGCTTGGTGTTTTTCCGACGTTTAAAGAGGCGGAGGAAGCGAGTGATTGAAGAAAGAGACAAAGATTGGAAAAGATTGAAGAAAGGGTAAAGTTCTTTACTAAGGGAAAACGCCTCATATTTATAGAGGGGCAGCGACGGTTCGGTGGCATTAATGGCCGACCAACACTGGCGTGCATTCAATATTTTTGGGAAAATGGGCCGATGGGACGTTTCGGTCACTTCGAATGCTGGCATCACGAGGATGACGTCATCATAAGTGGTTCGGGAGAATCGAGGTTCAAATCGTTTCATATGATTTCATTCTAAGAAACGCGGGGACTATCTGTATACAGTCAAAATCAGGGAGGCTGATTTCGAGGTCTTAAACTGGACTATGAGTCCGAGTCGGGGCAATTCGAAATGGAGGTCGGACCCAGCTGAGGGACACATACCTCGAGGAAGCTGATCGAAGGCCTGGCACGGCCTACATCGAGGGCAGCACAATCTCGAAGTCAATCAAGAAAGAGCGGAAATTTCTCAAGGGCACGTGGATCAGGGCATAAATTAAAGGATAAGATTTGTACGAAATGGTACAGGTCCGTACTAGGTTGTTATACACCTGTACCAATAGAATTCTTTACTACAACTAGGAATGTACTATATTGGGGTTTTCTCCTCCTATATAAAGGGGACCCCAATCATTGTGTAAGGATCATATGATATTATTCACTGCAATAGAACATTCTGCTCTGTCTTTCTTGTTTTACGTGCTCAACAATTATTCTTCAACTTTATTTTGTTGTTCATACTTTATTGTTCTTAGCTGACCTCGAGGTCCCTGGGACAACCGAGCTCGAGGCCCCTATTGCTCCAGCAACACTGATTTGGTTCACCTTATCTTCTTACTTAAACTTAATATTACTTGTATAATCACTAGTATTAGAATATATCACATATCTTTAAAACCACAAACTATCTTTAATTGTTACTTACATTTTCCGAGGTAAACAAAAGTCAGTCGCCACATAGAGTTTAGGTTAGAAGCTTTAATTTGTTCAATTTTAATCTCTCTTTTTTTTTTACANCGTTTCTCGAGATTCAAATCATATAAACTATGACCAATATTAAAATATATTTTTCAATGAAGAGAATTATAACTCATAGTACTTCTCGTAAAGTTTTTGAATCCCTAAATTTTTATTTTAAAAATATATTAATATAATATAATTTAGCTTCAAAGATTTGTCTAACTTGACTCTCAAAAAGAAAAAGCAACAGTAATTTTGGAAAAAAGGTTGTACATATATTCATCTGGAGTATTTATTGTTCAACTCTTTACCAAATTAAAAAATAAATAAATAAAAAGCAAAAAAGAGGCGAATTTATAAGGGACATGATACATAAATGATGGAGAGAATAAAGAGTAACGTGATTGTTTGACTTTATAGATTTTGACTTTTGAGTTCCATATCGTCATTGCTGTTACTTAAGCAGATTAGTTGTCTTCAGATTTTATGGTCTTTATTATACGTAGAATTTAATGCCCACCCAAAAAAAATATTATGGTCAGCCAAAACCACAAATAATTCACGTTACTTATTTTACGTAAATATCTTCCCTCCTAACTACGTATAATAAAGGGGTATTATCACTTTTAGCCAGTGCCATAAACTATTTACATTCAGTAGCCGAAAAAATATGTAAAATTTGTATAATTTTTGTATGTATATATATGTATACTTTTTTCGGCTATTATTTAAGAACGGCTATACGACGTCGTTTTATTCATATAATTAAAGACCACAAAACTATGAATCTATGATCTTTATTGTACGTAAATATCTTCCTAACTACGAAGACAAATGCTTGCTTCAATTTTAAACTTTTTGCTTTTACTTTTTTTCTATTTGACCTTAATATGTAAGTCATGAACTACCGCAACTAATTATGGAAAGTTTAACCTTCCGGAGATACTAATGAATTGTCTTTTCTTGTTTTTCTTATTTCCATCTTTCTGAGCCGAGGGTCTATCGGAAACAGTCTCTCTGCCCTATCGGGGTAGGGGTAAGGTCTGCGTACACATTACCCTCCCCAGACCCCACTTGGTGGAATTTTACTGGGTAGTTGTTGTTGTTAACTTTGAAATGAACTATTAAAACTTTATGACAAAATTACTTTTTTTTTTAAAAATATGTGTTCTGATGGATTGGTCGCTTGAGATTGTTTGATTCTGTCATGAGTCGATATCTAAATATATCGGTCCTCCGGTATGAAACTAATCGTGATGAGCGAAGGTGGTAATAGGAAATGAAGTAAACCTAAATTCATAGTATGAAATAAAGTTATCTCGAAAGACCTATAATCTCTTGAAATTCATGCAAATTTAATGAAAAAATATGATACACGTTTCTATATTTTGAATTTTCCGTTAAATTTGAACGGCATATTTACCCTTAATAATAAAATATTTATAGCAAATAAATTATCACGGCGCGTTTAAGATCATAAATCTAAAATCACTTCTACGTATGAGACGAAAGTCTTTCTTTTGTAAATACAACGTCAATTAATAAAAATGTCCTATAAAATACGGTTGATGAAGTAATAAATATGAAAATTGACAAGCCACTAGTAGTTCACATTCCATGCACTTTATGATCCACCGAAGTAAAAGTTGGATTATTTTGACATTGAAATACCACAAATCCCCCTTCACCCACAAGTAGATGTCAGTCACTATTTCAAAAAATTTATAACTTAATCGCGCCGAGGATCTATCGGAAACAATCTTTCTACTTTTTCGGATAGGGATAAAGTCTCCGTACACACTATCTTCCCAGACCCTGCTATTGAAATTTCACTTGGTTGTTGTTGTTTTCTTGTAGATTTACACGGGGCGGAGCCAGAGTGTCCGATGCGAGTTCGGCTGAACCCAATAATTTTGTTCAAACCTTGTATTTGTATGAAAAAATTCATTAAATATGTACAATTTATTAATGTAGAACCCAGTAACTTAATAGGATTAGAATCCCGAACCCACAAACTTAAAATCCTGGCTCCGCCTCTGGATTTACATAGAGGCGGAACTAAGATTTAAAGTTTATATGTTCAAAATTATAGTCCTTCTAAATTATCGGGTTTTAAATTAATAATTTGTATACCGTTCAATAAATTTCTTAAGACAAAAATAATATTGAACTAAAGTTATTAAGTTTGGTATAACCCGCAATCAAAAGGCTAGTTCGCCCTGGATCTACATTTATTTTAATTCCTATGGTGTACCAATATTTAAACATTATATCTCTCCTATCAATAAATATATTACAAAAATAATTCTCTTACAAACCATGCACTATATTTATATACAAAACATTATATATTCATTTTCTTTTCTTCGAGATCTTCATGATCTTTCACAAAAAATATTAGATCTTTATTCATTTGGTCTTATACTTACCCAATCATAATATATACCATAGGCTAGCTTTTGCTCTTATTTATACCCTCGTCTTTATACCAAACAAAAACGCAAATTTTCTGATATTTTGTTCATGCAAAAAATTTCATGGAAATAGTTAACTCAGTAACTCGTTTGAAGGTAACTCATATTTTCTTGATTTCCATTTTTTTCACAAATTTTTACTGGTTTAATATTGGAGCTGAATCTCCCAAAGAGCTTTTCAAAGGATTTAAAGCAACCCCAGATTCTCATATTTCAAATTTTCAACCTCTACTTACTGATTCTACTGGTAATTACTCACTGAGTTTTCTCCGAGTTGAAAAAGATCAACTCACTCTTTCTATTATTCATGTTCCATCTTCTGAGTCAATATGGGTTGCTAACTTGACCCGTTTAGCAAGATGGGCTGACTCGACTGAGTTGTTCTTCAATGGCAGTCTTGTGTTGTCGGATTCTCGTTTAGGGGTATTTTGGTCTACTCATACTAATGGACACCGTGTTTGGCTTTCAAATACATCAAATTTGCAAGTTCAAAAGGTTGATAGTGGAATGAGGTTAAGTTCTGTTTTGTGGCAAAGTTTTGATTTTCCCTCAGATACCCTTGTGGAAAATCAAAATTTTACAAGTAAAATGACTTTGGTTTCGTCCAATGGGCTTTATTCCATGAGTTTGGGCTTTGATTTTTTCGGGTTGTATGCAAAATTCAAGAACGAATCGGGTCCGGGTCCGGGTCGGATCTATTGGAAGCACAAGGCATTAGAAGCTAAAGCAGATGTTATTGAAGGTCAAGGACCAATTTATGCTGTATTAAAGTCAGATGGTTTTTTTGGTATGTACCAAAATGAGTCAGTTCCTGTTGATGTAGAATCTTTTAACAGTTTTCAACAACCCGTATCCGGTGTTCGTCGGATCCGGGTCGAACCGGATGGGAATTTGAAAGGATATTTTTGGGCCGGGTCAAGTTGGATATTGGACTACCAAGCAATAAAGGAGACATGTGAATTGCCTAATCCTTGTGGTATATATGGACTTTGTCGACCGGGCAAAGGTTGTTCTTGTCTAGACAATAGCACGGATTACAACTCCGGCAAGTGTGTCTCGCCGGAAAATCAAGATTCCGGCGACTTTTGTGGGGTTTATGATCATAAAAAGTACAAGGGCTTTTCAAGAAATGGTGTTGAATTGCCTAACAAGGAGTTAATGACTTACCAAAAAATGGCTTCTTTTCAAGAATGTCAAAGTACATGTGAAGGAAATTGTACATGTTGGGGTGTGGTGTATACTAATACATCTGGATTTTGCTACATACTAGACTACCCCATACAAAGTTTAGTAGGAGTAGGGGATGAAACCAAAATGGGGTTTTTCAAAGTGAGGGAAGGTGTTGGGAAAGATAAGGTGGAGGTGGGGTTAGGGATAGGGATAGGGTTATTATGTGGGGCCATCTTGGTATTTGGTGGGGTCATAGGGTTAGGGTTGTATAGATATAGGAAAAGAAAAGAGGAGTGAGTGGGTATGTAGAGAAGATGGAATGGTAGTTGGACCATATAAGGAAATGGGAAATGCAAGTTTTAGGTCAATTGAACTAAGTGAAAGATGAGGTAAGGGATGACATCTTTAAGATAGAGACCTCATCATCATACTATATTTTACAATATATGGTGGAAGTGGGCCATTTGGGTTTGGCAAGTGGGGCCTACTACTTCTCATGTGT